CTTCTGAGCCTTGGGGATATGACTAGTCTGAACAGAAATACTCTCTATGCTTAAAATACACATTGGATTTCAAAAGCCTTTTCATGAATAAGGAATATAAAATACAGCATTCATAATTTTATATTGATTGTTGAAATATTATTTTGGACATATTGTATTAAATAAAATGTATTGGAATTAATTCACATGTTCTTTTCAACTCACTTCATGTTGCCACAAGAATATTTCGAATTACATAGGTGGCTTGCAATACATATCCACAGTCAGTGCTGCTGTCAAACGTCTTTGTCCCACTGTCTGACCCCAGAGCTCCATCTCACTCTCTGTCCCTCTCTCTACATCTGTGCTACGAGTGCAGGGGCCACACACCACAGGTGGATATTTCAACTGAAATGAATTAAAATCAAACAAAATGTAAAATTCAGTCCTTTTGTCACGTTTGCCACACTTCAGATGCCCAGTAGCCACAGAGAGTTAGTGGCTACCACACCACAGAGAAGGGGCACAGACACTTCCATCGTCACAGGAAGCTCTATCAGACGGTGCTGCTCTGGGTTGTGCAGAGAGATGGCGAGAGGCACAGAGGTGGACCGTGAATACCTGAAGCTTGGGCAGGGTTTCCACGGTGCAGGATGCTGTGGCACTTCATCCTGCTATCTCCCAAGATACCTTTGTCAGCCTGTTCATGCATGACTTATCTCCCCTCTCCACCTTGGAGGGCTGTGGCATGCTTATCTCTCCTGGAACACACCTTCCTCCCCCTGCCCATGTGTAAACATCTCCTAACATGGTGCTCTGTACAATACAGGTGCTCAGGATGCGTTTGTTAACCAGGCAGAGTGGCAATTCCTAGCGAATGGCTGGTAGCAGGGGGCTCTCAGAGAAAGGAGAGGGTGTCAAAGCCAGGTTCCTAAGGAAGGAGGAAGAGAAGCTAGCTGAGAAAAAGACCGTGGTGACCCCAAATCTCAATCTGGTCACCAGAATCCCCCTGGCCCACCCCACAATCTCCTCCCAGGCAGTCACAAGACATACTGCAGGGGAATTCGCAGGCTTAGGCAGTAGCCATATAAAGAGCGCAAAAGAAATCCAAAATATTATTATGTGATAAATAAACACGCAAGACCCATAAACGGGAAGCATGAAAATGAAGGGTCTGGTGAGGGGGGGAAAAAAATGAAAAATGTCCTCTCCCTGGGCCAGCTGGTTTGAGTTACGTTTTATGAGCATCTTGCGAATTCCAGCGCCCTTGTTGAATTAGCGGCAGAAGCGCACATTAGTTTTAAGGCTCCCTCTCGAATAGGAACATCATAACGTTTTTTAATTGGGCCTGATAAAAACGTAGCATTACTTGTAGGTTCCTGAGAGAAGTGAATTGTGAAATTGGGTTTTCATTAAACCTAATGATGGAAAATTAAGTATAGAGCGGCTGGTGAAATGGGCTGTGATAAAAGGCATCACTTGTGCATTATCAGAGGTTAATAAGGGAATAGGTGAGCTAAGATACATTGGAGAAGGGAGTCCAACGAGTTGAATTAATAAACCTTGAAAATCCCTTGGTTCCGAGTCTTCATAGCGTCATTAGCACTGGCATTCACATTATTACAAATGTTACGGCAACACAAGTTGTTACATTTCAAACAGCATTTATTTTCCATTCCAGTGTTGGTTTTGCTGACACCAAGTTTACAGTCTGTCTAGCAATGTGTTTAGGGAAAATATCCATATTGATAGCTATTGGGTTTTGGAAACATTTAGCATCTTGCAAAAATTGCCAGGTGCCCATGCCTAGGAAGCCTGCCTCTGCCGGGCAGCCAGTCTCCTGTGCAGCCCACGCCCCAGGACCTGGGGGATGAGTTTCAAGCTCAGGCTCGCCTTCCCACTGCATCCCCAACCTCATCACACCATCGCGGGTGTGATATTCACTGGAAGCACATCTTAGATCCATGACAGCTAGGACACCTACGAGAAAAAGTGTGAGTCTTTAAAGAAAGGGGTTTTTCTTCCAGCCCTTTAACGGCTTCACACTGGCTTCTGGAGTCCACGTGTTCACCGTGTTTCTGGCTCTGCCTTCGCGTGGTCTCTTACAGCATTGCCAGCGGCTTGAAATCCATTATCAACCTCTGTTCCTACCTCTTGTGTCCACCTCTCGGGCCCTGTACACCCACTTCAGATGGTCCTGCTCATCGTTTTCCCTATGAGACCATCAAGCCCTGAGGCTGGACTCGTTATCTCTCTGCATCAACTCTGCCCACCAGCCCTTGGCACAGAGTGGCTTCTCGTGAAGTCTGACTGGTGCTCATGAGGTTGCAAAGGAGAAGGGAAGCAGCCCCATATTTTCCAAGCATCACATTTAAGCCATGCCAGTGAAGATGTGTCTACCTACTACCTAAAATCCCAGGAGAAAAATTAAGCGGTRCAGCCAGGGAGGTTTTGCTAATGTCTCACCTAGGCCCTTCTTTGTGTGTAAACTTGTGTCCTCAAGATCTTTGTGTTGGCACACCAGGGTTGATTGGGCTGAACTCATAGGGCCAGCTTCTTCTTCTTCTTCTTTTTTTTTTAATACAGAGGGGTGTTGAACCCCTGCCATGCCCCAGGCCTCTTTTTTATTTTTATTTTGAGACAGGGTCTCGCTAAGATGCTGAAGGCCTCACTCAGTTGCTGAGGCTAATAACCTTGAACCTACAATCCTGCCGCCTTAGCCTCCTGAGCCACTGGGATTACAGGTGTGCACACATCAAGCCTGGTGCAAAGGGCCAGCTTTACCTTGGTCGTGTTTACTGGCCACATTAAATCCGGGAGCTTGAGAGACCACACTAGGCTCATGGTAACACCACGTGCTTATTATTAGGTATGACCCAATTGATATCTCAAGCTCAGACCAATCAAATGAGTCGCCCCTCCTCCCTGGAGAGTGAATAGGAGGGGACAGGCAGAGGGATGGGAAGATGAGAAATGCATTCCCCACTCCATCCCCAGACGTAGGTGAAGCCTGAGGGTGGCAAACCACTCTCTGTTGCCCAGGACGGAGGGATTCCCAGGATACTGGGATTTTAGGGCTAAAACTAGAAAGTATGAAGCAACTGGGGACCAGCTGGTGACCCTGCAGGCCACACAGTCCCCTCCACCACCCCTTCCTTACCAGGAGCAGCTTGCTGGAGTGAACGTCCACACAGTCTGTGTCTGATGGGTCATTGTGACATGACAGGCAAAGCTGAGGGAACACGGCTTTTGATGAGACAAATGGCAGAAAATCAGGAGTACAAGCTCAGCTTCCCAGGGACTGCGTGGGGCCCAGGCCTCGGGATGGCCATGCCGGTGCCTCACCGTGACTGGAAACACCTGGGTGAGACACAGGACGGCCACGTCTGGCAGCTCTCACCTCATGCACACCTCAAATGGGAAGGCCCAGGGCAGAGACTGTCCATGTGTGAGAGGAGCTGGCGGGACCCAGCCTCGATGGTTATGGGGAAGATGAACTGAAAGGCTGGCAGGGCTGCCTGGAGAGAAGCTGGGGGGGCCAGAAACTACATCCAAGGGAACAGAGGAATTCAAACCCAGCCTGAGAGTGATCACACTAACAGGTGGTAGTTACAGCAACTCGTTGGGTGTAAAGATTCTTATGGGAGGGGGTAGAACTCGTATCGAGGAGAGGTTTTATGAAGGACATGAGGCATAGGATCTAGGTAGGAGGGAGCAGCTGGCAGGACTAAGGAAGAGGTTCAGCTGCCTTCCCTGCAAGGTGATCGGGGACATTCATGGACCAGCAGTGTTAAGGGGGAAACTCGATGATAGGAAGGTGGTGGTTGCTGTTGCAGAGCCTRTAGCTGGAGTGTCAGGGACACTACTAGCTCCTGGGGGTCCAAGACTCTCCAATTCCTCCCAGGGTACAGCCCAGAGTGTAGGGCATGATGTAACATGTGGGGCATGTTGCATCAGAAGAGGAAACCTAACTTGCTGGCTGCTACCCGCTTCCCCGTCTTGGAGCCGCCCACATGTGGCTAAGATGGCACCTGGCAGTCATCCAGAAGGCGTTACCGTGGGTTGTGACAAAAAATCAGAACACCCCTAGAATAGGCTCAGAACCCTTCCGCCCTGGTGGACAGCTCGTGTCACCCATTACTGCCTGCAGGATGGGTGTACACGTGAACTCCCCGCCCTGCTGACCTTTATCCTGATTGGCTCCTGTACGTTATATTAGCTGTGTGTGTTTTCTCAATAAACAAGCTCCTGCTTTGACTGGTCTCCCTGASGTGTCTGATTGTCCAACGGCGAGGGAGGGCCTCCCAGCTGAGCCTCCCAGCTGACAAGGTTAAAAAATGCATCACTTTTTGTGACTTAGACTTGAACTTGGCACTGCACCATTCCTAGCACATTCTAGTTGGCCCTCTCCTTTCTTGGCTCCATCTGGTGGGGGCGAGCTCTCCCCATCTCTCCCGMAGGTCAGGAGGGTACCAGGGCTAAAAACCCCAACACCAGAGGAAACTAACTAGTAGAGAAATCAGGGCACAGGGAAGAAGGAGAAAGGTGCCTATGGCAGCCGTGGGGAACTGTCCCAGCCCACCCTCACCATCCTGGRGGAGACACAACCCGGGGCTCCTGTCTGCAGGCACCAGGGGCTCTCCTCACCTGCAGGTAGGCATCGCAGACTATTGGTAGGCACCCTGCTTCCTAAACAGAAGAGTACCCCAATATTTTGGCTTGGCCACAGCCCACTCTGACACCTAGAGGAAGGACTAGGACAGGATGGGATGACAGGCAACCTGGAACTCTGTCTTCCCGCTATCCAGATGCACCCTTGCGGTTGGCRTGAACCACGGTAGCCGTGTGCGTTAGTTCGTTCGTTGTTTTAGGTTATGAGTCTCCCCCACAGCCTGCATCTCCTGAGCAGTCGAGTCCCCAGTTAGGTCCCTTTGTCCCCCTCAGGCCACACCAGGGGAAGCAGGGAGGACAGAGAACAATGTCCCCCAGGTGATGGCCTGCTCCCCGTCTTCTCTTTGAAGCAGATGGCAGCCGCGGGGAGCTGTCCCAGCCCACCCTCACCATCCAGACTCACCCCTACCGGACCTGCGACCCCGTGGAGATGAGCTACCCCAGGGACCAGTTCCAGCCCGCCATCCGGGTGGCCGACCTGCTGCAGCACATCACCCAGATGAAGAGAGGCCAGGGCTACGGGTTCAAGGAGGAATACGAGGTAAGAGRGCAGCCTGAGGGGAGACTTCCCGTGGCTCACAGGCTGACCTGGGTGCTAAAGCCTTGCTTCTGCAAGTGTGGGCCCCACCAGCAGCAGCGGCCCTCGGGACCGTGGTGGAAAGGCCTGTTAGGAGAGGTGTTAAATTTGAAAAGTGCCGTGCTAAGAGATCCTGATATCTCCTTCCACTTTCCTTTTTCATTCTCTCTTGCTCTCTCTCTCACTCTCATAAGCCAATTAGCTACAACATGTCTACACTTCCAAGTCACACCTTTCATATAAAGATACAATGCTTTGAGCCTCCTTCCCACATGTTGTATAAAAGCCAGCAGATCTCTCCTGCCAGTGATTTCTGGCATGCCGGTTGCCCCGGTCACCTCTGGCCCAGTGTCCATGCTCCTGTGCTGACCTCCCTACTCCCAGCTGAAGTGAAGCCTCACCTCTGGTGACTGCTGTCACCTCCTCCCCACCCCTGCATTAGGCATCCCTTTCYTTGCTCCCAAAGCATCTCTAACACCAAGGACTTGCACGCAGGTGGGGCTCATTACTGCAGCTTGGGGAATAACGCACAAGGACTGCYGCAAAGTGCAGCAAGTGTCTCTGGTTCTTCTAAGTTCCTTAGCCATCACTTGCCRCAGTCTGGCTGGGCACAAATCACGAGCCACTCAAGCAGGAACAAACTTTATTTCCRGATTCCACCAGCACCACCCACGTGGCTCCTCCAGGCACACACCACACCAACCGGAAATCCCTCCTCCGGACCTTTCCCAACCAATGCGAACCCTCTAGGAATCCCAGSGAGAACTCCAAAGTAGCTTGAGAACTCCAAAGCAGCAGCGAGGAGGCAACAAGAGCCGCCCCATTGCCCGACAGTAAAGGTCAAATATACAATACAATCAATCCAGCATCACAGCAGTTATATACAGCTTAACTCAAATCATCATCTCAATGGTTCGCTGGCCTCACCTTTCAAACATTCCCTCTGGCAAAGGCCAGGTGTCGTGGCTCTCAACAATCACTTCACTGGAACTTTCTTCCAGTTCGTGGCCTGACAGGTCTCTATCCACTCTTCAAACCACCATCTCCCCAGCATCCAAAGAAAGACTCCCACATTTTCTTTATCATGCAGAACAAGTTAGCTTTCTTTGTCTCCTTCCCGTTTGACCTTGCCCATTAGACCTCACCTTCCTTAAACAGAAAGTAAAACAAAACAGAAGGAAAAACTCATTAAGATGTTTTCCTGAACCAAAGAGCAGCTCACTCCCCAAGAGGGATTCTTCACCTCTCCTGCTGCTGGGGGAATCCAGCTGCATCCAGCTGGATTCTTCACTCATCTTTCCTCTCTCTCCCTCTCCTCCTTCCTTCTCAATCCCTTGAGCATCTTCTGTGGGCCAAGCTCTGAGTCAGAGATGACCTCATTTTTTTTCTTGTTTGCTTGCTTTTTCTTTTCTTCCCTTTCTTTCTCTTTCCTTCCTCTCTTCTTTTTTCTCTTTTCTTTCTTTCTTTCTTTCTTTCTTTCTTTCTTTCTTTCTTTCTTTCTTTTTCTTTCTTTCTTCCTTTCTTTGTTAGTCACATGCAGTGTGTGTCCCAGATATGTTCAGTTCAGTTTCTCTGGGTGCAGTGAACACTCATTGGCTCAAACTCCACACATTCGGCATTATCTTGGTAATGCAGACTAAGTTTATCTCTCGGGCTATATTCAGAGAAAGAGCTTACAAAGCAATATTTCTGAAGTCATGTGAGGTCATGAAATTGAGCTGAAATTGGAGTCCAGACAGCTGGATTCTAATACGGTAAACTGTGTGATCTTAGCATATCATTTTGCTATCTGACTTTTAAAATTCTTTATGGGTTGAATGAAGAGTTTGGATAAGGTGATTCCTAAGGACCTGTCTGCTCCTAAAACTTTATGAGAATATAAAACATGGTGGCAAGGGACACGTTTGACATATTTATGAGAACAAAAACATTTATGTCAACGATGTGAGTAATTACCAGCTTGGGAGAACCAGCGGTTAATTTCAAATATGGTCTAAGTAAGATGACATTTTTTATATACTCAGTATACAAGTTTTGGAAGATTGTTAGAATAAGAGTTGAAGGAGATGATCTCATCACCTCCCATTCCTAGGTCTTGTTTCCCAGAGAGATGAATGCCCCACCTTCATGTTGAAATAAGGAATCCGCCTGTGCACATTTATACACATGTATGCAAATCTCTTTATTGAGTCAATGTCAGGAAGATGCTGTGTTGTTTGCAGAGACTTATTCAGTGTTATGATGGTGTGGCAAGTCATTTGTCATATTAATTCATCTTAAAGTTTCAAATAGTACTAAGGAAGATATGTGGTTTCTCAGAACAGAGTTCACCCAGGTAAAGGCTAAKAAACACATATTCTGTACAAATCATATTTGTAATCTAAATTTTGATAACAGAATTACAAATGCACTTGAGTACTTGGGTACATCTCTTTTCAGAATGTTAATTTTTTTCCTTTTTTTCTTCATTTGTTTATTTTTTATTGGTACATTGTAATTATACCCAACAGTGGGATTCATTATGCCATATTTGCATGTGCACATAACATAATTTGATCTCATTCTCAGAATGTTTTTTAAAAGCACCTATCTCTGTGGKGTAGATTGCCTTTCAAAAATCTCTTCTTTACCCCTCTTCACATCTTCACAACTTTCTAGCACAGAAATGAACTTCTCTTACCGTGAAGTGAACAATACGTGTTGTTTCATCATTTGAACCTCAACCCAAATTATCTCTAAGGAGACTACCCTTGCCCTCAATTAGTTCAAATTATATTAATCAGCCTAGTAGAATGCCTAGCTTCTAGTTAACTGCATTTTCTGAGTAACTGAGTGTTAGTTGGAAACTTCACTTAATGAACCTGTGCTAGTTTCTACACTGTGAAAGTTCACATTGTTGGAGTTCGACTGGGTTTTGCTCTGACTATAAAGGTTCCCGTGATATCTAGGATTTATCCTGAGCACRAGTCACAGATCTGTATGGAGACTCAGCATCCTGTTATAGATAAAAGACTCCCAGGCTGCCAGCGTGGCTCTCGTACTGACCTGCTCAGTGTAGTCTGTGGCTTCCCACTGACCCATCCTRCTCTGTTTTTCTGTACAAATGAGTGGGTTTGACAAGTTGACATCTTAGGCATCTCCCAGCTTCTGTGAGCTGTGTCTTCTAAAATTTAATTCAGTGGCATGATCACTTACACATTTGTTTGATAAATATTTACTATCTCCAAGGACCATTCTGCATATTTGCCATACGATGGTGAACACAGAAAACATCCATGCCCTCACGAAGCTGATATTCTTTTCCAAGGGAATTAGGAAATAACCACGAATTTTAAAAATATGTATATTAGAGAATGTAGTGTGTTAGTGAAAAATACMACTTGCTGTGTTACAAACTTCTCAAACTGAGCAAATAAAATAATTGATTTATTGCAGTCATTGGTTGTATGGGTTAGGAATTTAGACAACAGAATCTGTCTCCACTCTGTAATGTCAGATCCTTGACTGGGAAGGCTCCAAGGCTGGGGGGCTGAAAYCTTCCAAAAGTGTCCTCATTCCCAGGCTGATGTAGGCCACTGGAATATTTACACATGGCCCCTTCAGGTGGCCGGGGCTTCCTGACAGCATGGTAGCCTCACCATAGGTGGACTTTAACATGATGGCTCATAGCTAGAATGGAGCCTCCCAGCTGACAAGGTTAAAAAATGCAACACGTTTTGTGACTTAGACTTGAACTTGGCACTGCACCATTCCTAGCACATTCTATCTACTTGTAAGCAAGTAGAGACTTCCTCCATTCTAGGAGAGGAGAACCAGACTCCATCTCTTGATGAGAAGAGCTGGTGGCCAGATTCTAGAAGAAGATACAAAATAGAAGATGTTGGAAAATATGATCGCTGCATAACACAGCCTGCCACAGCTACCATGGGAAAAGAAAGAGCAGAGAAAGAAAGGGACACAGTGTGCCCCAGGAACACCAAGTGAAGGAGGTCCCACTGCTCAACGGGGYGGAAGGGCAGCCCTTAATGAGGTGATGGTGGAAGCCAGACAAGAATTCCAGGTCATGCCTGGCCTGCAGGAGCAGAAGCCAAGAGGCGGGGCTGGTAGGAGTAGAGGAAGCAAGGTAAAGGCAATAGAAAATTAAACTGAAATAAAGAGGCCTCTGCTGCCATCGTGCACTAGAAGCCATTGTAAAGACTTGGGCTTTTGCTCTGAGTGGAATGGAAAGACTCTGCAGAGTTTCAGAGCTAATGATCTTTCTGTTGAAAGGCTTTTCTAACCACCCTGTTGAGAACAGGGCAGGGGGGGAAGCAAGGATAAAAGCAGGGAGGCCAATGGCCAGGTCACTGCAGTGACCCARGTAGAGACCACAGTGACATGGGCCAGGCACGGCGGAGGGCTGGCAAACAACGGCTGGAGTCTGCGTCTATGTTAAAGATAGAGCCAACAAGATTTCCTAACAAGAGCACGTGAGTCAAAGAGCCCAGAGTGGCTCCAGAGCTGGTGCCTGAGCCACTGGAAGGCGGACTTGCCATCAACAGAGATGGAAAACTTCAGTGGCACAGAGTTGGAGCCATCGGGAGCTCAGTGTGAACCGAGCTTGCAGTGTAGACTAAATGCCTTAGTGTAGACCGCAGGAGTTGGCTTTGTGGGTTTGGAATTGGGAAGGAAGCCTAGCTGGAGAGCAAATTTTGGGAATCCTTGGCATACTGATAGTATTAAAGTCACATGACAGGATGAGGTCACCATGCATGTAAAAAGGACCAAGGGACAAACTTTTCAGAATTTCAACTTTAAGGAAGATGCACTGTATGGGGGTTCTAGAAACAGGAAATGCAAGAAGCAGAGGCCTCGCCTGCTGGGGAACTTGGAGCCTGCTCTCAGAAGCAGGCACATAAAACTGATGGTTTTAATTTCTTGACAAAATACCGTGATAGAGGTCTAGCCAGAATTAGATGACTGTG